GCCATCTCTGGTCTTCTATCTGCATGTTAAGTTTATCTCACTTTTTTAATTTGATTACCATGTCAGGTCTAACAATCTTGGCCAGATATCTAACTACATTTTTTCCTTTTTATACAGCATTAAATGACCTTTTGCCTGCTGGATGTTCTATGCTTTCCTATGTTACTGCTAACCTGAGGGACACCTAATTGAGAATTGCATGTGCAGGACCTCAAGGACCACACTGATCAGAATCTTGAAGCAGTTCCACATTCAACTATTACACCAAATTGGACAATCAATGTTTCCGATGTGAGGAACAAAGATATTAGAAATAAATTTCATTGGTGCTATTAACAACAGTGCTTCAACCATGATTGACCATTATATATAAGCATTTTTAGACTTCTAATGACTTTCCCTTTAGCTTTTGGTCAACAACAATAAACCAGTTATATAGCAGCGGCAGAAGGTCATTAGTATTAAAGTAGTGAAGTATTATTATTGCTTGTAGTAAAGATTTTGAATCCACTAGTGAAGACTCTGAACTCTGTCAATTTCAGGGACAAACATTTTCATATCAATCGGTCACATAAGGACAAAGATTTTCTTATAAATCTGTCTCATAACCAGTTATGATGCCATTTGATTATTTGGTGGCAAGTTTTTTATACAAAACTCTGTCATGCTGCCATTCCAGATTCATGGAACTCTATAGGTAGCATCTGTTAAACATGATGACACTCACATATGCTAATGTTCTGTAATCTAAAATATTTGATGGATCTGATAAGTTTTGAGGCAGTATTTCATTGGTAGAAGTTCTTTTCAAGTTTTAATTAACTGGCCTCCGTCATCTGCTCTTATGCTCCCTACAGCTAAGAACAGTTAAGGTCAGCAATATATCTTTAGCTGTTTCCGAGAGGGATATCAAAGAATTCTTTTCCTTCTCTGGTGACATTCAATATGTAGAAGTGCAAAGGTGGGCACTCTTAACTGTATGGCACTTGACTTATTTGGATATGTCATCCTGAAGTTGTGTTGTGATAATTTGTGCAGGAAGACTGAGAACACTTAGATTGCTTTTGGTACTTTGAAGGATTCACAAGGAGCAGATACAGCATCGCTTCTTACAGTGTGTTCATCTAGCATGTTGGCAGTCTTATTTTGAAAACTTTTCGTACTTAGTTCTTTTAAGAGCACTTCATGCTAACATATGAACTTTATTAGCTCTCATCATGTTAAACTAAATGAAATGAGACATCAAAGTTTGCAAAGAGAATAAATTAATTTAGTGAAAAAAAAAAAATCCGAACAAATGAATAAAGCTTAAAATATATAAACCACATTTCCAGTCTAGGCACACCATCTGGAACAGTGCTCTTTCTAATATCTTCCTGAATTTATTGTTGGTCCAGGGAGCCACAATAGCTCATCTTTCTGTCACACTTTGCCTTTAATCATGGTATATTGCTTTAACACCTATATTCCTGCATCTTGTATCTTGCTGAATAGGATGCTTCTAATTTTAACACGAAACATAATGTGCCATGCTGAACCATTGGTAAATGGGTGTAACATCATTCTTGCTCGTTGTTACCATGCTTCCATGGTTGCAGAAAAGCCAAATTTACTGTTTTATTTTGGTGATGATGTGATTTTTTCTTTTTCTATTTTATTTTATTTTTGGTCTAGATTTTAACTACATGCTTCCAATAGAGATGGTAAACATTTCTGTAATCAACTATGAAAATGGCTATATTTACCAGAGTCAACTTTGATGGCTTTCAAATATTAAAATGAGTCATTTTGGAATGGTTTGCTTGATTGCATGATCTCTGTGCTTGATATCACACCTGGTTCCCGAGCCCCTTGAATCCTCCCTGGGTGGCAGGTGATGAAGGGACATCTGCAACTAAGCTATATGAACATGCAATTGGGTTCTCCATGTAGTTGAAATTAAGTTACGAATTTATGTTCCAAATGATGTGAATGGTATCTCAGATATTGATATTATACCACAATAACTGAATTGAAAGAATATAGTGTTAAGAGTAGGCTAGTAGCATCCTCATAGCAACTTATTATAAGAAAATAACTATATAAATGGCTATTGAGGCATGTCTTCACCTTTAGCACTCTTGTCATGCTTAAATGCCTAATTTGTTGGCCTACCTCTTGAGAAATTAGTTAATTGGTCCTCATTCATTGGCTTACTTTATGAAAAAAATAGTTAATGGCTCTTGTTATTTAAAAGTACATGCTTCACTTGAGGGGAAGGAGAAACTGAATGAGTGCGTGAGTGGGGGGAGTAATGTATTTTTGCAGAAGTCCAATCTATATCGTCTCTTTTTCTCTTAACATTCTCTTCTCTTCTGCCCTATGAAGGAGACAAAGCTAGCTGAAACTGATTCTACTGTTAAGAAGGCTGAAGATATGGTCAGCACAATGCTAGCAAAGGGCTTTGTCTTGGGAAAAGGTGCTATCAACAAGGCAAAGGTTTTTGACGAGCAGCACCAATTGACCTCAAATGCATCTGCCACAGTAGCTTCCATTGATCGTAAAATGGGTCTGAGTGAAAAGC